CAGTAAAGTGGAAGTGTTACCCCTGCTGGTGAGAGTGGATAATATAAGATTGGCTCTTGATATTGATACGGGTGCATGCACAAATGTTTTGTCCTTGGCATCCTATCAGGAGTTACAACGTAGATTCCTTCACCGTGATTTCCAGTGGAGACCAACTGACTCCGATCTCGAAGGAGAATCTGGCGCGCAGCTGAGTATTGACGGAATGGTGACGTTACCACTTAGATTTACAAGACGTGGTACTCCCTTCTATGCTGACTTTTATGTGGTCCAGCACTTTCATTTGCCAGATGACGGATTAATTGTTCTCCCAACGCTCAGAACGAATAAGATAGATGTTCGTTCACGTAATAATACTATTACGTTTAAAGGTGTTTCCTACAACGTTATGCGTCATTCTGCACCTTTGCATACAGCAAGGTCGAAAGTGTTGTCGTGCTAGTCGAAGTTAAGCACGATACGACCTGGTGGTTTGACAGACGTACTAGTTCTGAATAGAACAGGCGTTCAAAGAATATTGAAGAAAGGATGTTATTTGTGTGATTTTCTGGTATATCACAACAATGTCAAATTACAGCGTACGCAATTCCCAATTGGTAGTATTGTACCTCAATCCCACCGCTGCCACCTTAATGAACCGGATGGTTAATTCAAAGTTAACCAGGTTGGTACATTTATATTATATTGGGTTTCGTTACTAAAGCCCAATATAATATAAATGTACCAACCGGGTTAACTTTAAATTAACCAGTCGGTTCACTGTCGCTTGGTTCGATGAGTTCGGTTTGAAGCCAATATTCCAGTTCCTCCCTCAGAATCTTCCTCTTGACATCTTCAACTTGTAGCTGTGAAAGATGAAAAACTTTAGAAGAAGGGTCATCTAAAATCTGTGAATTGTATAGATTAACTGGAACCTCCACCAGGAAATCTTGCTCTTGTTCCTGTGGTTCCTGGGTCTCCATAACACACACAATCGCTTCCCTGGAGCAGTAGAGTTCCGCCTATTCACATGCCAGTCTTCCCCAGTAGGTACTGAGGGTGGTCTAAATTTCCTCATCAGAGGCCAGAGTCCGAATAGTAACAAACAGACAAGTCATCAGCTTCCTCCTTGCTTACAGTACTGTTACTCAGCTCTAACAACTATGGATCACTTACCTGATCAGAAATTAATCCTTTCCTATTTATGGGTACTTGTTCTATAAGGTTTACATCACTATTCAAAGTTAAATCAACACTAGATGAGAGCGAGTTGTCAAATACCTCACCAGTGACTGCAGGGGGATTATCGCCACTGACTTCCGTCAAATACGACTCACTGTCATCAACAGAATTGTCTTGCGACACATATAGGTTCATAATAGCAAAGTCATTTACATCACAAACTGCACCACTTGTGTCACCTACATTAGGAACAAGGTCAACACGAGTATTCTGCTCTTCTCTAAGCGACATACAGTACTTCTGGTAACAACACAGGCAAGGTACTGATCTTCAAGCAATTTAGTGTTATTGACCACCTTAGGAGTCGTGGTCATAATCCGGGACAACACGAGTACCAGCAATGTCATTAGCTAGCAAAACGATAACACCACTGAGAAACCATTTCGCTCCTCAAGAACATCCTACTTAAAGAAACAGTGACTAAACGACCCACACCTTTCAATAACACATGCTCACCAGTATAGTCACTTTCCACACAGGGAAAAGCACCTTTCAACACAATACTATGGTTAGCAGTAGTGTCTCGAAAAATCCGAACAGGGTACCGAACATCACTGGACTCATCCCTTGAGACAGTCCAATCAAACATAAAGGGCTCAAGTAAATCTTCCTTTGAGTAAAAACTAACTGATTTAGGGTCTAGCTTCTCCATCTGCACGGATATTATTGTTCCGAGCCACTACGGACATTTACCTTACTTGAGGCAAATGCCTTTGCATCTTCAAACTTTTCCTGCTTACCACCCTTGTCCCTAGTTAAATGACTTTGAAAACTAAAATTCTTATGAGTCAACACTTAACTGTCTGCCCGAGCTGCTGCTCGTTGCACTTCTGTAACATCTCTCTCTCTCTTCCAAATATAACTGAATGTCTCGTAGCAGGGCTCTTAAATTGCTCTAAAATGATCAACTCAATCAACTCTACATAGGAGTTTACTCCACAGTTTTTATCCATCTTACAAAGACGGTGCATAAATTCAATATATGACTGTGACTCTAGTTTCCTTTCATTCCTAAATTTCACTCTGCAGTGTTCCAGAATTAACTTATAAACCTTCAAAATAGCCTCATTAACCTCTTCATAATTTTCACATTTTTCAGCCGATGAAGACTAAAGGACTGACCTTGCTGCACTTTTAAACACGGTTTGAATCATTGCCGGACACCTGCTCCAGCTACTACCGCGGCTGCCACGTCATCGCCACTTCCTCCATGCCCTCTCCACAGTCCGTGCCAGGGCGTCTCTCCTGTGTAGCAATACATCGCCGGCCGGCGCCAATTGAGGAAGCTGCCTTAACCTCCCACTGAGAGCAGATCACTGGTTTACGGAACCGTCCACCTGGCCACCGCCTTAGGAAATATTTCTGTTCATTGTTTGACTCCCGTTAATTGTTTGACTCCCTTAATTGTTGACTCCATTAATTGTTTGACTCCCGTAATTGTTTGACTCCCTTAATTGTTGACTCCATTAACTGTTTAACCCTGTTAATTGTTTGACTCCCGTTAATCGTTTGACTCCCTTAATTGTTGACTCCATTAATTGTTTGACTCCCGTAATTGTTTGACTCCCTTAATTGTTGACTCCATTAACTGTTTGACCCTGTTAATTGTTTGACTCCCGTTAATTGTTTGACTCCCTTAATTGTTGACTCCATTAATTGTTTGACTCCCGTAATTGTTTGACTCCCGTAATTGTTTGATTCTCTTAATTGTTTGACTCCTTTAATTGTTTGACTCCCATAATTGTTATTAGAAATTTGTGTGAGTGGTGTCAGAGTTTTGTGTTATTTTCATAGTAAAGAGAAGTCAATCTCGAACAGTTGTTTGTTATCCCTCAGAAAACCATGGTTCTTGACTTTCCTTTTATAAGATCCTAATTAGGCTGGCAAGGGATTCATATCCCTAAGTCCCAGGCCTTTACAAAGGGTCAAGACGTACCTGGCGCTCCTCTGGGAGCAGCCAGGTCAACTGTTAAGTTGGCTCATAGCAACTCCCTCCCCTGAACCCCTCCTCCCCACCGGAATATCAACAAGTTCTCACCAGAAGTTACAATTTCATTTAGGAAAGGAATGGAACCAGTGTTGAACAGAGATGAACAGTGGTGAACAGTGCTTAAATCAGTGAGAACAACTCAACAGTAACTGTTGAGTCATACCCAAGTTAACCTTCACACAGTGAGGTCCCAGGTACCCAGTGAGATCCAACAACAACTAGCGCTGTGTTAATCCTTCCATAATAGGAAGGCCTGGGACCACACCTCACTCATTTAACGCAATCTGTGAGGGAATTACTACACCACGTGAGGTCCCTCATAAACCATCTGTGAGGGAATCACTACACCACGTGATGCCCCTCATAACACCATCTGTGAAGGAGTTACTACACCACGTGAGGCCCCTCATAACACCATCTGTGAGGGAATTTCTAAATCACGTGATGCCCCTCGAACACCATCTGTGAGGGAATTACTACACCACGTGAGGTCCCTCCTAACACCATCTGGGAGGGAGTTACTACACTACGTGTTTGCTGTTCAACACCTACATTAATCTGCATGTTCACTGTATGTTCCTTTATCTTTCTCTAATGAAGGCCTTTGTTAAACCACCCTATGTATGAAATAAGACATTTATGTCCAATGTATATTTTAAGCCTTCGGGCTGCAGAACTTTTTCAATAATCCGTTTATTATTATTATTATTACACAAACACACACACACACACACGAATAAGGACGCTCTCTGTTATTCTTCAAGCTAAAATCTGTTTGTAATTCTCCGGATTTATTGTAATGTTGAATACTTCATTCGGCAGTAAATAGTGTTCCAAAAATCTGATGTTAACCTCTGACAGACTATCACGTTCTCATATAATAATGTTAACAAAAAGCGCTCCTATATCCTAATGTTAACACTTAATTATTATTGTACATAAGCGTCATAATTTTTATTGAATCAATTATTTTTATGACGAGTGTTGCTTAAAGGTGAGTAGAGGGTACCTGATAACCACTGAATAATAATAATAATGATGATGATGATTGTAATGATAAAAGGGATCACCTGGAGAATTGTCACCCCAGAGTTTGGCAGGGTGACAATTCTTCAGGTGGGATATCCTGGGGTGACGATTCTTCAGGTGGCAACACCTTGGGTGACAATTCTTCAGGTGGGGTCAGATCTCTGATTTGCTAAGTTCGGTCAGGTTGTTTTAAGATTGTGTGACTTTCCTAGATGACGGATGGAACCCTTCCCGAACTTGTTTTTTTTTTTAAATGAAGAATTTTTTTTTTAGATTTGGAAGCATATATATATATATATATATATATATATATATATATATATATATATTTATATATATATATATATATATATATATATATATATATATATATATATATATATATATATATATATATATATATATATATATATATATATATATATATATATATATATATATATATACTTTTTTTTTGAGAGTGTGAGTCCTGTTTTTTTAATCTTAGATTTTTTTTTGGGGGGGGCGGGTGGAATTTATTGTATTTTGGAACACGGTGTATATTATTCTTTTTTTTTCTTTAAACTTTTCACAATAAAGATGCATAACACAAAGGAATATATTTATGTTATCCTAATTATACAAATTGTATTCACTGTGGGCTGGGGTGACGATTCTTCAGATGGCGCAGACTGGGGTGACAATTCTTCAGGTGGGATATCCTAAGGTGACGATTCTTCAGGTGGACATTCTGGGGTGACGATTCTTCAGGTGATCCGATAAAAGGTCGTTTCTTCCAAAGTTTAATAGCTTTAGAATAGTGATAACATTTGTTACTCATTATCTGCGTCAATTTGAGTCATTAACGGAGGCAGGCAGTGCAGCGTGAGGCTATGACCAAGATCGAATACCTCTTCAGTGACAACAAACATTCGTATGTGATGGCATGATAGAGTTACACATAAGGTTAAATAGCATGGTGATTTGGTCAGACAGCACGTCCTCTCCTACGTGATGGACGTCTGTACACCTGAGGTGTTCACCGGTGTACACTGAGCTGTCCACCAGCCCTCGACGGTACAGTTCTTCACACTCACTGATCCCCGCCAGGTTGAGCGGCACACCAGTGTCCCACCACCACACTCCACCACCTGTCACTCTAGGGACCAAATAGTCTCTGCTGGTCCTGGTAGTTTGTGGTCTCACAGTGTTGGGCGTGGGACCCTGGGGGTCGGGGGAGTGTTGTTTTAGAGACCCAGTGATGGGTGTTGGAAAGGTGTAGGAGACGTGGGGCGTGGCAGGAGAAAGATGGTGGTCTTTATACTGACGGAGATAATACTGGAACAGCATCTCGCTCCAGTCGAAGGTGGCATCCCCTAAGATTGACGCCTTGTTGTAGATTGTTCCAGTACGACTGTGCTCCCTATAGCGACCCTGAGACACCACCAGCACCCGCGTCCTCTCAGCGATCTGAAATCAAAATAATTTTCTCGGAACTTTGTGTCTGTGGTTACCGTGGCGGGGTATCAATACACTGAGTTGGCCTTCCAGCAATTCCTTAGTTGAACTCCCAAAAAGCCAGTGTGTGACTAATCCAGTGTGAGGCATCAGTAGTTTTACCACCTTATCCTGAATGATTTGCCGTTAAAAAAAAACAAGTTTATAGTTATTAAGAAGAAATTCATAAATACCCGACTGGTTAACTGATAATTACCAGAAGAAAGGTAGAGATGTATAGTACAGAACTAGTTGTGTTTCAACCTGTTATAATTTCATGTCTAAAACGAGAGACATACAAATGATTAAAATGAAAAGATTGAGAAATATGAATGGATGAAAAGGTGACGTAGTGAAATGGTTAATTCAAGTTCGAGTAAAAGTGAATTGAAGGAAAAGACATTAGCAAGATAACGGAGAGGATGAGGAGGTGAGGGAGCGACCACAAGGACTTACTGACCTGGTGTAGGAGAGGGACGACCTGTTGATGCATCTCTCTCACGACCTCCAGCACGTCGGAGGTGTAACTCCTCCTCATCATCATAAGTTGCATCATCCACGAGGTGTAGCCTGAGGAAGTGGACGAGTATAATACACCCTGTCTCTCATCTGTCTTTCTCTAAATATCCATCAATCTGTGTTATACCTGGTGTTGCCTGAGGACAGATGTACTACACTGACTCTAATAATAATAATAATAATAATTAACAGTTTATTGAAAGAACTTGGCAGCCAGAAGGCTCTCTATATCTATGGGTGCAGCCCCGAGGAACAAGTTTCCTATACACTTCATCCCTATAAGAGTACCTTCAGGCAGGGTCAACCTTATGGTGGGTGTGACACAATCTGCCGGCACTGAGATGTTACAATGGTAAGATAAGTATAATGATAAACAAACCATGTTGCTATACAATTGTACACATATGACAGAAAAAAGTCTCCTTTCATTATATACATACTATATACAGAAAAATTAAGTGCATTAAGTCGATTTTCATATACTTTATTTTCGATAAGCTTGGGCGCGATCAGTAAATTACGTTAGATTATATTAGGTTTTGTTTAACATCAATAAACGGGAGTGAATTCAGTTTTTATTCTCACGCTAAATATGTACAGTACATTATTGTACAGTACACAAGACAATAAATATCTATCATGATTTTACTTAGTGTGTAAATATTTTTCATGTTTAAAACAGAATACGGGGCCAATATTATCACACATGCTTATTCAGACAGCAACTGAAACTACGCCAGACGAGCGCTCGCCCGCCCCCTACCTGCAGGTCTTACAAAAGAGTCTACCTTATAATATCATGGTCTTAAATTCTACCCCAGACGAAGGTTCGCCCACTAACTGCTTGCAGTGGAGGTGTTGTGGGGATGTTGTCTTACCTATTATAAGGATGTGAGGGAGGGAGTCCTCCCCCCTGGCCCACCGACTTAGTTGTCTCAGTTCCTTAGTCTCCTGAATCTTAGACGGCGTTGGTTCCATGAACATCCTGAAACTGTGACCCAATTACTGACGGCTGTGGCTTTGACACCAACACCAACAACGGTGATAACAACAACAGCGCTTACTACAGAAGAGATAACAACAGCATCAAGTTGAGAAATAACAGTGAAATAATCTCAATAAGTCGGCGACAGTCAGGCAGGGAATAGAGTGACAGTAGGTAACGGTAACAGCTACCACTCGTACAGCTAAGAGTATCAACAATGACTTATTCTTAGACCAACTGCAGGAAGTAGCTAACAGTAGACAGTAGAGAACAGCAGCAAAAGCAGTGCTAACAGTACAGCTGTGAGTCATGAGGGTCATGCACTAAAAAACAGGGAGTAAAAAACATAATAGTGACAATATTTATACATAATTTAAAATCACAAAAGATGTTAAGTAGGACAAACCCAACACATAAGAAAACTTATGTAAATAATGATTATAAACAGCGTAAACATCATATTTAAGAAACATTTCTCAGTAACCATTAGAACATCTCAAATAGAAATGTAACATCACATATATCATTCATATTGCAAAATTAACCATTAAAACATTCCCAGCATGATATTAACATCACTGAGTAAACATGAGGCACCATCTCAACATCAGTAAACACTCCCGTCACACCTGAAGGAGACACGGAGGCGCGGGTGTACAGGTGTGGCGGCCTCCATGTCGGTGTGTAGCTTAAAGGTGGTCCTCCTCATCTCCTCGTAGCTCATGGTTGTGTTCTGCGTCCACCGGGGATGACAACTATGAGTTTTTTTTATCTTTATTAATAAATATATTTCTATGTCAGAGAGAGAAAGAGAAAGAGAGAGTTGTATATTAACAGTCAGAGAATATTCAGAAGTATCAGTGACTCACCAGAAGGTGGATCAGGTACCGATATTCACTGTCGGTTCTCTGAAGAAACTCATAAAATAAAGCCCTGATTTTTGAGTCGCCCAGAAAAGAGATCCAAAAGGAATTGTTGTTCTTGAGTCTGTGGGCGAAGCAGGCGGTGACGGAGGGTATGTGGTCAAAGGGCACTATGGCACAGGGCACGTAGGGCAACACTCCGCCGTTGGCATCAATCCTACTGTTGAGGCGGAGGATGGGTGTTTGACCTTCCTTCTTGTGGTCATCCTCTTGACTCTAGTTAGTGTGGAGTTGGAAGGTTAAGAGTGTAGGAAGCAGCGCCGCCAGACTGCGGTAATCCTCAGTGGAAGCTCCTGACGACGACGACCTCTTCTGCACCAGGTGTCTCACCCCTTTGACAGCCGCTGACAGGTGAGCAGCGAAAAGTGTTTCTTCATCTGGCACCCCAGTGATGGTGAAGAGGGAGCGACACCTATTTACTGACACACCTGTCTGGCCTGTTTCTCCACGGTAAACAAGTGGTCGTCTCCTCTGCTCACCAGCCTCATCACTATATATGTCACCATCTTTGTCACTCTCCTTAACATTATCCTCTTGGTAAACGCTCACCAACAAAACGAAAATTATCACTGACGCTGTAACACTTGTTTTATTACAACACTTTTGTATAAGATTTGTTCGTAGCACAAAGACCATCTTCCTCGAGCAGGGGTTAACCATTTAAAGGGCAGTGTCGTACTTAAGTATTCAATTCAATTTCAATTGTTTATTCCTTGATAGAGGAAGCGGGATCCTAGTGCTGTCACTAGGTACCCCTGTACAATGACACCAGAATCATCTGGCAAGTGTGAAAAGTATATACAGTATAAATATTATAAAGGGGCTTACTAAAGCCTATGGAAGGAAGGATGTTCCTTTAACACATAATTAATATTATTTACAAAATATCTGGCCAGTATTGGGAGGATCATCGTGTCTCCGTCAGGGGGTCGTGGAGTGGTGGTCCAGCAGGCGTCACGGAAGCATTGTGTGTGGGGACATCTTAGGAGGTAGTGGATAAGGGTGCGGCTGTCGGGTCTTCTGCATAACGCACAAGAGCGTTGCTCAGGGGATGTGGGGATACCAATCTCCCAAGCAAAGTCATACCCGATGATGATACGGGCAGCAATCACGTCCCCCTTCCGCGACCCTTTCCCGTAGACGTACGAGAAGTCAGGAAGTTTACGGAGGACATCGTACCATGTGGGCGGGGAGTCCAGGGGGATGGCTGCTTCCCGAGCTTCTCTCTGTTTGCGGCGGATTTGGGTCCTAATCTGTAAGAGTGTTCGAGGAACAACGTAGTCAGGTGTGGCCTTGTTGCAGCCAGTCTTGGCAAGGTCATCTGCTGCCTCATTCCCCAAGATACCGACATGACTAGGTATCCATAGGAATGTCACAGGACGGCCTTCATCCTGAAGTGTGGATGTTAACCCTCGTATTCGGAGGATGAGGTCCTTATTTTCCCCAGATCCAAATGCGATCCCGTCGAGAGCAGACCTGGAATCGCAGCAGACAAGCAAGGGGCAGAAACCATCTGCTTCTTCCTCAGCGAGAAGGGCAGCAAGGAGGGCTATTAGTTCAGCCTGAGTGGAGGATGCCCCGTCAGAAACTCTGAGAGACAGTTTGATAGGCTCAGGGGCATGAGGACGGGAGATGTAGACACCAGCCCCGGCCCTACCTGTAGCGGGGTCAACAGAACCATCAGTGTAGAGGACGACCCTACCTGGGGACCAGTGAGCGATCCTGGAGAGGTGGTATTTGCAGAGAATAACAGGGTTCACCTGGGATTTCGGGAGCGGTCCACCGAGGGCAATCACTTCAGGTTGAAAATCCAGCCAGGGAGAAGGAGACGAACCAACAGCAGGGGTGACAACAATATCAGGCAGGAGGTCGTGTTCCTGAAGGGCTCGGATGAGTGACCCTCGCCACTGTCTTCTAGATGGAGGTCGGTCTCGGACAGCAGTAGTCAAGTTGGTTTGGACATAGTTGCCCCTAGGATCCCGTAGAATGGAAACGGCAGTTTTTAGGTAAAACTCCTGGACACGATCCTGTAAGGGGGAAAGACCAAGTTCGGTATATAGAGAAGTAGAGCGTGTCCACTGAGGAGCCCCAAGGATGATACGAGCAGCTTTCCTCTGGATAACTTCGAGACGGTTGACAGCAGTCCGACTAATGTTGACGAGGGCAGGGGCGGCGTAGTCGACACAGGAACGGACAAAAGACTTGTACATGGTGAGAAGTACAGGGATGCTGGCACCAAGGGAACCCCTGCACATGGTAGAGAGGGGAGCGAGACGCCGAAAACATATGTCTCGAAGATAGCGGACTTCAGGGATCTGACAACGTGTGCGAGTTACATACACACCCAGGTATTTTGTCTCATTAACCCAGTCCAAGGGCGTTCCTGATAAGAAAAGGGGTGGAGGTACAACACGACCGTGCCACATGGCTTTTGTTTTCGCAGTTGAAAGAAGGAAACCAAGTGAATCACACTCTGGAGACCAGATCAAGGGCTTCCTGCATGCTGAGGTAGTCAGGGGCTTGGAGGAGGACATCGTCGGCATATCCTGAGTGGACAACTTCTGTCGGCCACGGGAGTGATGCAATGGAGTGCATGAGAGTGTTAAACAAGGTGGGACTCAGGACTCCACCTTGAGGGGTGCCGAGGTTCATTTCTTGAACAGGAGACATAGAGCCTTCAACGCGAACCCGGGCCTGACGTCCAGTGAGGTAAGAGGCGATCCATTGTAGAAGTCTCCCTTTAACCCCTAACCGTGCAAGTTCAGCTAAAATGAGGGCAGGCTGAGCCGTATCAAAGGCTCCCTTGATATCAAGGAAGACGGAGACGCGGGCAGTCTGATTGCAATAAAAGGAAGCAATGGAGTGTGCTGTGCTGCGATGTTGAATGAAACCATTGAGGGAGTTGTGGAAGCCGCCTATGGTGTGAAGAAGGCGACGATGGAGTATCCTCTCCATCATCTTGCAAACACAGGAGGTAAGACTAATGGGTCGATATTTCCCAGGATCTCCCGGCTTAGGGATGGGGATAACAGTGGCATTTTTCCAGTTGGACAGGAGAACCACATGTTCATAAGACATATTGTAGAGAGCAAGCAAGGGGCCGTTAGGAATATTAGTACAGGCGTTGAGGACGGAGTAGGTTATCTGATCATCCCCAGGAGAGGTGTCTTTTCTAGAGCGACGAGCACTGTCAAGCTCGAACTGTGTGATGGGATGATCAGTGGGGGCAGGGGAGGTAAGAGCAGCACGAACAACAGGCTCAGACGCATCAATGCGAGCCTGCACTGCCTCCTGCATTGGATCTGGAAGTGCCTCAGGGGAGGAAGCTCGTGCCCAGTCCTCCATTAAAGAGCAGGCAAGGGAGGCGGGGTCAGGGTGGGGAGGAGGCCTCCGTCGAGTACCCCGTATAGCATTAATCCGATTCCATACATAAGAGGGTGACGACTGGAACGATGGAGATCCCGTGAAGGATAGCCAGTCCGCCTCACGTATCCGACGGCGCTCCTGAGTTGCAAAGGAGCACCAATTTTTGAAGTCTTCCCAGTCCTCTGGAGACCGAGACCTCCGTATGGCAGAGTGGAGATCACGGGTTACCTGCCGGAGATGTCTCATGGCAGGGATACGATACCAGTAGCTGGTGGCACTTCTGGGGTGACGGGGAGGGCGTGGAGGGGTAGCGCGATTGACAGAGTCATACACGGCATCAACAAAATCAGCGCTGTAAGAGTCAAGGGACTGAGGGACAACATAGGAATCCGCCCAGGTAGAAAGGTATTGGGTAAAGGAAGGAACAGCATCTTGTGTGAGACGAAGGCGAGGGGATCGATAAGGAGCTGATGTCGGGGCAGAGAAGGAGAGCCTGAGATGGGTAGTAACGGCAAGATGGTCACTATACAGAGCAGGCTCGGTGCAGACGGTAGGATGAAAGGAAGTATGACCGTTCAATAGTAAGCCAACATCAAGGAAACTATGGGGGAGGCGAGTAGGATCGTCAGGACAAAGAAAGCGAACATCATCATCCCCATTAAGAAACTGTGAGAGATGAGATCCATTAAGGGTACATGGAGTGGGATGATCCGGAGTAAGAGTGGGATGGCGGGCATTAAAGTCGCCAAGAACAATAGTGGGAACCCCATCATGGAGGTCGTGAAGAACCTGGGGGTCCAGAGAATCACTCTTGAAATGAACATTGACTACACGAAGGGTCCGGCCACCAAGAGTAAGGGAGACAGAAAGTAATTCAGACGGGGGTCCATGTGAGTCAGGTGAAGGGAGACGAACAGATGGAATGGTGTTACGCACAAGGGGGAGGAGGCCACGAGCCTGCCCACGGTACCGAGGCAGGGTGTAAACAGAATAGCCAGAGAGGCGGAGTGGAGTAACATCGTCTGTGATGGTTTCCTGAAGTAGAGCAACATCTACTTGATGGGAGAGCACAAACTGGGCGAGGTCTGTCCGGCGAGGTCTAAGTCCCTGGATGTTCCATTGTAAGAAGAGGAGGGAACGGCCTCCGGTGTGAGATGAGTCGGAGGGGCTAGACAGGGCTCCAGAGGAGGTACCAAATTCTGTTGAGAGAAATGGAGAGGGAGGAGTGGGAGAGCGAGGGATGGATCCTCCATCTCGGGAGATGGAAGGAGGCGGGTCATCAGGGCTTGCAAAGCGCGCCCCTGTTGGGTCAGGGTGTCCAGAATGAGTTGTTGTTGCTTCTGCAATGTCGCAATTGTTTTCACAAACAAGTCGAGTTGGGTTGAGAGAAGGTTGATTTGCTTGGAGTGGCGATCCAGACGGAGAGTGATTGTTTCCATAGAACCAACTTGGGGTACCTGTGCATGAGCTGGAGGTGGCGGCGAGGATTGCCGAGGGCCCGACTGGGCATGTGGTGGTGGTAGCGACGGAGAGGGACGGTGAGGGTTCAGTTGAGTAAGAGGTGGTGGTGCTGGTGAGAGACAGCGGGGGTCCGGGTGGGCAGGAGATGGTGGTGACTGTGTGGCAGGGCCGGCAACGACCTTGTTCCAAGAACGGTAGGGAGAGGGAGGGAGGGGAGAAAGGATGGGTGGTAGGGGTGATGGAGGGGGTGGTAGAGGAGAGGAGATCAATGGGAAATCCTTGGCGGATGGAAGAGGCGGTGGTGGATAGGATTGAGGTTTGGTTGACAGGGGCTTCGTCAGAGACGAGGGCGGTGGTACAAGGTAAGTTTTCCCCGGGCGAGTGCCAGGA